TTGTAGAAAAAGCTCCAAGGTGGTTTGTAAAACTGTATGAATTTTAGTATATTCTACCGTCATATCTTAAATAGTCGTTAGTGGTTGATACCTAGCGTCCAATTGTAAGTAGAATTACGACGTCTCAAAACAGCGTTGCTATGATAATGTCACAAACATCTAATGTAAGTAAATCTGTTTTTTTGGCGACATCAGCAATGCCATTTTACAACATCACCATAGCAATTACTTGCGTTGCGACGTTGCTAAACTAACTTGAAATTAGCCCCTAGTTTATTTGAGCGTTGTACTGAATTTTACTATAGTTTTCTAACCGAATGGCAAAATAATTCAAAATAATTCCGCAACGGTTCATCCTACGGAAAAAAGTATTGCATACAAAGATAAAATGATGACAAAATGTGGCACATTTTTTGTATAAACGTTTTTTATAAGCCTAATATTTAACGTTGTACAGCGTTGGTAAAGTGAACTTTTACGAAAAAATTCAAACAATATCTAACACTAGAGTAGAAGGAGCCTACTGGTCAAATTTCATGCTTCTAGCTTCAGCAACACTGGCCGAGCGCCATCCTCCGTGACGCATGATATTACTCATACTTTTTCCAGAATTGGCCAGAAGACTTGCAGATGTCCTACGAAACGAATGACTTGTGTAGGAGCTGCCGTTAAGTAAATTCAAAAATTTGGCCACAACGCTGGGAATACCACCAGCTTTGTGGATTCCTACGGGTTGGACAGTACATTTTCCTTTTTGGTAATTCAGAAAAAAAATCTGCTATAAGACGTTGTTTCCGGTCGAATCGCAATATATTTTCTGACTATTTCCAATAAATTGTTTTTTCCTGGTAATATTACAAACGATCTATCCTTTTTAGTTTTTATATCGACGATCTTAACCAAACAATGTTTTTCATTATCTTCCACGTCAATAAGAAAACCAATTCCTGGCGTCTACACGCTCCTGCGACACCAAAAATAAAAATGACCTATAAAATATACCTTTAATTATGCATCTGAAAAGTATTAGCATACATACTTTGTTTAACAAATGATATTCGTCTTGGGCATTTAATAGAAAGGAATCCACATTTTCATTGGTTAAAACATTGTTAAAACCAGCGATTTTTTTGCCGTATACCCTTCGCCTTCTCTTTTAAGATATGGTATAATACTAGGGAATTTGCTAATATCTACGCCTTCCTTTAAGTCGATCGTAGTACGCAACATTGAGTACTTGCTCCATAAGCTAGATGCCTTATGCGACGCCAGATCAGTAGCAAAGGACGCCAATATGGCATTTTCGTCAGTTTTCTTTATTTGTTTCTTCAAACACCATCTCTTGTATGCATTGTAGGTCTCTTCGTATACACTTCTATATTTACTAGGAAGGAGAGTTACCTTCGCTTTGGACGCTATTGAAGCTATTTCGTCCATTTTCTGTTTTTTTGCTTGTATTTCAAATAACTATAAATGACAACCACACGAAAACACAAATCTCGCAAATCCATAAATAAAGTTTGTAGCGTGACCATAGCACACTTTGAAAGCATCACAATTTTCGATGCAGAATGTAATTCTTGTAGGACAATTTTCTTCAGTGCAATCAAACATAAAGTTTTGTATGTTATTCGTACATAATTAGACTTTGTGGACTTGTCCTATTTATTGGCCTCGCTCGCAAGCTCGCTCTGCCATAAACTATAGGGCTCGTCCACAAAGACCTATCTTATCTATTATTACATAAATAGCTATTACTATTTCAAAGGAAGACATATCCATATTTTCAGACGTCACCAACATTTTTTTCAACATGGAAATTTTTGTTCATACAGAGGACGAGCGACAACTTTTGTTACTGATTAACTCTTGAGCGGCTCACTCTATTTTCCACTCACTTGATCCATACGCATAGCATGCTTCTCTACGTTATGTATGTACAATAATATACATATCTTTGTTATAATTTATAGGTGTTATCATAAAAAAAAGTAAATTCGCAAAATCAAATTTTATAATGTTTCGAAAAATATGGATATGTTGGACTGTACTTCAGAGACCACAGAAATTCTGTCAAAATAAACTTGGACTAATTTTTTTTTCGATAACGCTTATAGAAAAGGTTAAAAATATGAATATATTATTAAACCACAGATAAAGGAACACGTCGCAATATAAATTTTGAGCGAGATTTAAACAGCATTTTGAAATGATCGTAAAATTTTTGGCGAAATGGAACAGATAAGTTTTCATTAATTTTTTTATCATATAGATATGATAAATTGGTAAAATTTCCCAGTAATCACCCGTAGCTCCAGGAATTAGCGGTCCAATACAATCACCAACAAGCAGACGTCGGTAGACGACAGACAGGCGCTGAAAATCCTATCCAGACGGAAATAGGTAACCGACATTTTCATATTCGACAAGATGTAAAAACTAAAGAAAAAATATATAACTTAAAATAAAATTGTATGTCACTCTTGGGCGAAACTTCTTTGGCAGTGTCATTCGTGTACACGAAAGTACCAAATTGTACACTAGTAGGTACTGCAAATACAAACAAAATTTTATTACAGCTTTATTTATTTTCAGTTAATGCAAAGATTAATTCACATAAACTACTTATTATATATTTATGCGCAGTTATTCTATGACAAGAAAGCGCAAGCGTCGTTCTACATTGCTCTGCAAAAAAAAACGTAGTTCATTTATTTTGTTTGCAATAGACACGGAACAAAATTACAGGACACGAACTCAGGACTGTAGAAAGAATATAGCTTTTACATCTAATTGTTTCAAAAAATCAGTTGTTTTCTGCACACGATGGCTAGCCACGTTATCGTAGTGGATGAATCAAGTGTCCCAACGCAAAAATTACCGTAAACTTTCTAGAAATTCAAACGCTTAAGAGAGACAAATATTTGTGTGCCAGTCTGAGATTTCCCTTCTTCTCTTATTCTAACATTCATTACTGTCCTAACAATGCTTCTTTTTCTAAAAAAAAAAAAATTGGTCTAAAGAGTTTAGACAGTACTTCCCTCGCTGTCGAAAACGTGACGACTGTATGCCTATTATGTTTTTTTTTCGCAGTGGATTTCAAAGAATTCGGTTTTGTAGTTCCTGAGTAAATCAATAAAATAAATTTACGCATTCATTAATTTTTTTGAGTCACCCTGTACATTCAGATCCAAAAAATATGAATGGAGTGATAGATCACAAGTACAGACTCATCATATTTTGTACATTTTAGATACGATTTATTCGGCAAACTTTTGAGTTGACGTCATCAAGTTTTTGGAGGGGATAAGCAAATATATTTTGACTAAACATTTATTATGCTCTTTATAACCTTAAAACATCTGCAAGATGTCAGAGCATTCCGTTTTGTAGTTCCTGATTAAATCAATAAAATATATTTACGCATTCATTAATTTTTTTGAGTCACTCTGTATATGCAAATCCAAAAAATATGAATGGAGTGATAAATGACAAGTACAGGCTCATCATATTTTGTACATTTTAGATATGATTTATTCGGCAAACTTTCGAGCTGACGTCATCAAGTTTTTGGAGGGGATAAGCAAATATATTTTGACTAAACATTTATTATGCTCTTTATGACCTTAAAACATCTGCAAGATTTCAGAGCATTCGGTTTTGTAGTTCCTGATTAAATCAATAAAATATATTTACGCATTCATTAATTTTTTTGAGTCACCCTGTATATGCAAATCCAAAAAATATGAATGGAGTGATAGATCACAAGTACAGACTCATCATATTTTGTACATTTTAGATATGATTTATTCCACAAACTTTTGAGCTGACGTCATCAAGTTTTTGGAGGGGATAAGCAAATATTTTTTGACTAAAGATTTATGATGCTCTTTATAGCCTTAAAACATCTGCAACATTTCAAAGCATTCTGGTTAGCAGATTAAAAATTAAATTTCAAAATGTTGTTTTATAATTTTGATTTTTTTTTCAAAAATCTGGACGTTTCGGGTGAAAAGTCGATTCAGAGTTGTAAACTACATGTGTAGGACTATGTTATTTTATACAATTGAAAACCCATTTACTATGTACAATTTTGAAGTGACGTCATCGCATTAGTGGTGGGGATGATTAGACAAATTTTGGTTAGCGTTTTACCATCTACATGATATTCTTAATATAAGTACAAAATTTCACAACAATCGGTCGAGTACTTTCGGAGATTATCTGTCTAATAAAATCCGGGACAACAGACGGACAGACGGACGGACAGACGGACGGACAGACGGACGGACAGACGGACGGACAGACGGACGGACAGACGGACGGACAGACGGACGGACAGACAGACGGAAATGGGAGACCTATTTCTTCGTCTTCTAGGGGTCATGAAAGATCGAGAAAACGTAAAAGTAGAGAGTCGGCCGACGGACTCGATTACAATACTTCCTTTGCTTACGCTCGGGAAGTAAAAAATGCAAAGGATGCAATTGTCTAGTCACCTGTGGTGGATGTTCATCTTCAAATACCCACAATTTATTTATTCTGTGTTTCCTAACATTTTATAATAATGTAACCACGTTTGTTCACCACATTTAAACTCTTGCAAGATGTTTTAGCATAACTTTACTCGCCAAGTTCTTTGCTTATCAACTAAAGTACAGTGGAACAAGTTTTTCTACGTTTGGATGATTATGTATAAATGAATAAGTTATTGGTTAACATCTCCTCGATCCGACGATATGTAATTCAGCTGTCTGCTTCCATCAATTTTTACGCAGCCGTTATGTTTTCTGATATTGTCACGTACTTCTCTTGGCCTACCTTAATAAGAATTGTCCTCCAGGACAAATATACAAATATATTTTGCTGAAATTATTTATGCCGTGAACTACCAAAGACATTTCTTTAAAACGTTTTGAAGAATTAAATCACATTAAAAATTGTATAGTCATGTTTCACGAAGCAACAAAAATCTCAATGTATTTTTTCTATTTTTGCAGATGGGGCTTTCAAAAAACTAAAACCCGAACCAGCGACAACTGGCAGTAACAGTTTAGGCACAGTTTCCCCCGGTGGACCTCAGCACACAGGCCACACACCCACGACAGCCTCGTGTCCCACACCTGCACGAAGAAGGCATCGTACAACGTTCACGCAAGAACAACTCGCCGAACTCGAAGCGGCCTTCGCAAAAAGCCATTACCCGGACATCTACTGTAGAGAGGAATTAGCTAGGAGTACGAAGTTAAACGAAGCCAGGATACAGGTCAGTTTGGAAAAAGTTCGCAAGCAGGCAATCACTTAAACATCTAATTGCGAAAGCATTCATCATAATTCGTTTGGATTGTCGATACCCAAATTGAATTAGCCCTGTTTCGGGTGGGCCGACGTTAGCGCGCCCTCTCCTTTTGCGTGAAATCAAAGACTTGGCGAGATGACAGACTGCATCCCGACAGAGAAGCTCACTCGGCTGGATCTTTGATTGAATTAGGTATTCGTTAAGCTAGGGGGGCCCTCGAGACACAACTGTCACTGTGGAGTGCCCCCCAGTGGAGTGCCGTGACTCATGCATTAGCCGCCCCACGAACATTACGGGAAGATAAGCTCGGAAGGGTATTTTTTACGGAAACGAACATTTTTTCTAGATAAACTTTTAGTGAGAGTTTATCAAGGACTGATATTTATTTGCCTGCCTCTTGTTGTGTTATATCTGCTCGATCGATATGCCATCCATAACAACCAAGGCCGTTATAATTAACAATCACGGCCGTTATATTAACTGAAACAAAAAATTGTTATATGGTTCATTTGACATTAAAGTACAATAAGATTAAAAGAAATAAAAACTAGTACGCCGTAAGAACAACTAAGTATTAAAGCTGAAAGACCAATTGGTACTGGCAGAAATTACAAATTTTCCCGTAAACTCTTCTTTTTTGTTATTATTGTTTGTTCAGCTCCAAGTTGAGGTGCTGGAACTTGATGAGGTTGCCGCGCTGTAAAACATTGCTTAGATATCTTAATTTTTTTGTTGTTCTTCAACATACTGCTCAGCCATTGTTGAAGATTTCCAATTTCCAAATAATGCAGACACAATACAGATAAATTTTGATTAACAATTTGCGATACTAACGATCACTTTAAAATACTTGCAAGATATCAGAACATTCGGTTTCGCAAATGGTAAAATGTGGTTATATAATTTTTACTGTTTTTCCCAAAAATCTAGATACCTATGTTAAAAAATTATTATTACTATAAAATTGGCTAACAGGTTATATACCCCACTGCAATAAATCCAGTTAAACATATTACAGCTGGCAGAATTACTGTAGATCCCTGAAAGACAGAACTTTATTCACAATTCACATTATATAACAATAGATGTACTTATTTTAATTTTTTTGGTGTAATAAAAAATATGCCCATCATTTCTTCAAATGATAAACAATTTTTACTTACCAAGCGTAAGCTAAGGAAGTACTGTAATTGGGTCAAAAAATTTCACAACCTCTGCAGCACGAAAACGAAATCATCTCCACTGACAATGTAATGGCATCCCCTCAAAATTTTTTCGAGTAAATAAGATGTAAATTTTTAAAATAACATTCTTGTACTTGTGGTTTATGAAACCGCCATGAAGTTGCCCCCGAGACATCCAAATTTTCTAAAAAGTTAAAATTAGATAGGGGCCTCTTATAATAAAATCACCGGAACTCGCACAAAAATATTCGATAGCCTAGTGATTACCGTGGACGATTATAGACATGTAAATCCATCGTCACGTGTTCGATTCTCTCATGAGCTTTTTGTTTCTATTACACTGCTATTATTATCAGTATTATCACAAATAAAAGCAAATTTTATAATTTTTCAAAGAAACGGGATTTGCTGACTGTACTTCAAGGCCGAGGAAAGTTCTGTTGAAATAAAATTCAATCAATTTCTTAGCATGCGATAAACTAGGGAGAATTATATATTTGTAGAGAGTGGATTTTATGAAATTTGCATATCCGTTATTTTTTGCATATAAGGCTTGAAATTTAATATGTGAACGAATCATGCTAATTAAAAACGAATACAGCTATAAAAAAAATTGCATATTTGCATATATTTGCCTTCTGCTGCATATTTCACGTAACGGGTGCATATTTTGCATTTTTATCAATTTTTGTGCCAATTTGAAAAAAAAAGATTGTTATTCTATCGGCATGTATCTAGAAAGACGAAATTTCATTAATCATATTGCAAATATTGTCCTGATCTTCAAATAACTAGTAAAGGTTTGGGTTTTATGGTAGTTTGGAGAATCCATTGGGTGTTAAGCCATTCTTCCAGGTAAATTTGGGCCCTAATTACATTTGGAAATACCGTTCATTCCCAATATTTTTGTTCGTTACTTAAGTGTATTAATGGTATGTGTTATGGTGGTTGAAGGGACGTTACCCTATTATTTTTCATCGTGAGTTTGCATTGAAAGCATTTAAAGCGATACATGTGTGTTAATATGTCGAAGATAACTCAAATTAATTTATGGATTAAACCTTTTCCTGAACTTATTCTTCAAGAAGGAACTGTTTTGTCGCGTCTGCTCTAAACCGGTAAAGATTTTTATATCTGTGGAGGTAGTACACAGTTTTTCTATACCGAATATACTTTAGAATCATCGGAAAACTTTTGGTTAGAATATTTCGAAAAATATTTAAAAATAAATTGCTACCAAAATAGTAATTAAATAGTCCATTACTACTAATTTTGTAATTTGTAAATAAATTTAGTTCGGTTACTACGCTTTTTTTTTAGTTTTTGGAGCATATGCAGCTGCATATCTCTGCATATATTAAGAAAGTTACTGCATATTTGCATAAATTTGGTGCATATCATATGATCATATTTCCCAAAATTTTGCTGCATATTTTCCGCTCTCTATAATATTTGTATTCGTTGTCTCAACCTCAAAAGTGTGGTACTTGGCGGCAGCGAAATGATGGTACTTTAGAATGAAATTTAGATAACAGGTGGAGAGAATCAGTATGATTGTTAAACAACTGATACAGAAATTTAGGTAAAAAACAAATTCTTCTACTTGATAACAACAGAATTTGAATTCTTTGTAATAATAACCAGTGACCGGCGACCTAACAAAAAAAAACAAAAACCGTTAGCTATACTTGGCGTTTCAGGGCGTAACTTCAGCTGTTTACATTCACGTTTCAATGTATACTTGCTTTCTTGACAAAGTCCATTTGGTGTGTTCTCAATCTCAACATTAGAATTTTGGGGTAATTATTATTTGTGTAGATTTAAACAGAACCAACAACCTTCGACCAACTTTTTCCTTTGTTTAAAACACGAATTTGCAATTTTTCTTACTTCCATGGCAGCTAATCTTCACAAGTTCGCGTAAGAAACGATGACATCGTGTAAGTAACGATGGCATCGTGTAAGTAACGATGGCATCGTGTAAATAACGCAATTTTTTCTCTTTTCAGACATAATCAAAATTAAACTTCTTCTCGGTTTTTGAAAACCGGAAAATTAAATTTTTTATCAATATAATGTATGATAATTCACAATTCCATAGAAAATGGAGAAAATGTATCAATTCGAGAGAAGGCAGGTTCAAAGATTTCGCGTAAGTAACGCAAACTTTTAATTAAATTTTGTCTAAATTAAATCTGACTTTAGTAAAATCAAATTATTAAGAAAAAAGAGAAAACAAATCTCTACAATTAGGTTAAAAAATGAAAGTGTAAAGCACTTATGAGGACAGTTTAAAATAAAAAAACTTTACAGAATCCCGTACGGTTTTAGTCTAAGTAACAAAATGGACAGTTCTTCGCGAAGTCTAAGAAGTCTGAAAAACTTATTTTGTGTTATCAAAATTATAAGGGGAAAATTAACCCTTATCCAACCTTTTTAGACGCTACTGAAGGATAAATAAGTAAAATTAATTTATTTTAGTAAATGACAGATCTGGACTGTTTGAGTCACTAGGTCACAACCCTAAGCATGTATCTGTATCTGGGTAGATTCTTTTAGTAAATTAAACGCTAGAATTAAATGGTACTTTACTAGGATTAACACAAGACAGATGATATAAGTAGCCTACATTCACATCGACAACTGATGTAAGCATTATTTTTTTAAATATGTTTGTTATACTTCTTGCAAGTGATGACCACATTTTTGCCGATGTACGCTGTTTTAAAAACAAAAACAAAATATGTAACTACAATTCGTTATATTCACACTATAAAACTAACTACAAAAAACTTGTAAATGTATTAATAAATTAGTCGTATTAATTATAACCCTTAATTGTACATATAAATACACTTTTTGTTTACCTACAAATAAATTATTTTGTCGTTTTAAACAAAACGGAGAGGTAGTTTAGTAAGCAATTCTGTACAAACTCTCGTCCGATGTGTACTAAACTCATTTATGCTTTTTTGCTTATAGCTTGAAAACATTGCAAATTGGTTCTCTACACTTCCAACTGTTAAGATTTCTGGAATGTAACGTAAGAAATTTGCTAGTCTCTCAATATGTTTGTCCCAATGTTAGTAAAAAAATATTCCACAACACAGTAATATAATATAACACAAAGTAGTCAGGGGATTCATGAAGAAGTTAGTAGAATTCCTACTTTATATTCAAATAAGTATTAAGTCATGCATTGCAAATTCAGTTGTCATCCGCAGGTTTGATCGAGCCGAAAATAACAATTAAATATTTAATAGAACTAAAAACTAATAATTTTGTAAATACATGCTTCTAAGTTAAGTGTCACAAGTATGTAAATTTGGTTTATCAAAAATAATATCTATATACCGAGTGTAGAATCGTTTTCGGAGCATAGGGATTTTACATGTAAAAACAGAAACTTGAAAATATTGGCTCCCCTAATTATTTTAGAACAAAACATTAAATACAAAAATTATAGAGAATAAAAAACTATCTAAATCCTTTTTTATTGTTGTAACACCTTATGGTATTGAAATAAAAAGAAAAAAAGAATTCACGGTGTGTGATAAAATTATATGTAGTACTAGCCATGAGATGATCAAATAAAATGAATTACTTTGACATTTTGGCTATTTAATTTAAATTATTCTGATTTTGGATTCAAAACAAACCTCAAAGAACGCTTTATTCTCAATAATTACACTTAAATTAAATGTTCAAACACATCACCATTAGCAGGTAAACAAAATCCTAATCTATTGTAACGCAACGTAACACTATCATAAAAGTTTCTTC